TGGTAAGCCAGCTCGTGGGCTACATAGAATATTAGAAATGGGTTAGAACAATATGTAAGAGCTAGCCAATAAGAAGCTGGAACTAGCCGGGCCAGGCAGTGTTTGAAAGAATACAGTTTCCGTGTAATTATTTCGGGGCATAACCTAGCCATGCGGGCGGCCGGGTGCTGGGGACGCAGCCCTGCCGCTCCTATTTCAACAAGTCTAATCCAGTCTGTTTTCAGAGTTCCTCTCCCAGCAGAATCAATCCAAAACTCTTCACTTCAGCCGCAAACAGACTCTTTGGACAAGGACAAAAACAAGCCACCTTCTTTACCAAAATATTACAAGAAAGATCTCTAGGCAATATACTAAAATTCTTCTCATCTGAAATCTCTCGAACCAGCCCTCCAAAGTTCAAACAACTCTCAGCAGCATTGTCTTCTATGATTTACTACTACGGCCCACTAAGCAGTACTTAAGCATTCTACTGCTTTTCTAATCCATAGTCTCAAAGTCCATATTCCTTCAAATAGAAGCATGGTCAGGCCTATCATGGCAATACTCTACCCAGCAATACTGGAGTCCCCGGTAACAACTTTTCTCTTATTCAGGGTTGCTATTGCTGTGAATAGACACCATGATCATGGTAACTCTTATAGAGGAACACATTTAATTTTGGTGGCACCTTACAGCTTCAGAGATTGGGTCCATTATCATCATGGTGGGGAGCATGGCAGCAGGGAATATGGTGGCATGCAGGCAAACATGGTCTAGAGAGTTCTACATCTTGATACAAAGAAGCTACAGGTAAACTCGGACACTGAGCATGCTTGAGCGTATATCAGACCTTAAAGCCTACCTCTGTGGTGACTCACTTCCAACAAGACCACACTCACTTCAACTAAGCCATACCACCTAAAAGTGCTACTCACTTAGGGGGCTATTTTCTTTCATACAACCACAACTCATGTCTGCTTTCTCTGCTAAAGTGACAGAACACTGGGGAACTGTGTTTGTACAGTTGCTCTTCATAAGTCTTAGGAGGAGTCAATTTCACTTCCTTTTAAATCTTTTTATGCTTTGGCATTCATTTTCATATTTAATTTATACATGTTTTATAGTTAGAAGATGTTTTCAAGGTCTTCCTTCCAGAGCTCCCCAGTGGTAGGTAGGATATCTTTCCATAAGCGCTTCTTCTGTTTCTGTGGGAGTTTTGAGCAATGACAAGAAAGCCAGACTGTGGCCTAAGACACTGTGTTCAGGACCATACACTTCATCTCTGTTGGTCCTGATGTTCTTAATAGGTTTCAAAACACTTGACCCTGAAATATCATTTTACACAGGGCTTAAAAATTATGTAGTCATTTTTGCAGCCAGCTGTTGATTTCTTAATTGCCTCAGATAAATTTTACTTTCTTTATAAAACCCACACTGCTTAGCATGTAATATTGCTTGCTAAATATTTCCTGATTGTATGGGAAAGACTTTTTGCTGACCCTAGCCAGGAAGATCAATAGTCTCGGTCTGGCATAATCTCTTTGTATGTAAATCATTTCACAGTGGAGATGGGACCTATTATGTAATTAGACAGTGTGTGTTAGTCACAGAAATTGAGGAACAGGAAACTTTTCAAGTAAATAAACATAGTATACTATTTTACAAGTTCACTATTACCATGGATCATTTGTCTAACACTAATACTTTGTGTTTCAATTTTATGTACAGTGTCCATAGCAATAATTTAAAATAAAAATATAATACTTTATGGAATATACCATTGATGTTTCTTGTCTCCTTCTTATTTAAGTGCTAGGGGTATAATAATCTAGCTGGCAAAAATAGGTTTTATGTAATCAGTTAGCAAATTCAAAAATATTCCCTTAACATTTCAAATCTGCGGGGGTGGGGGTAGAGCAGAAAGGAGGGAAGGAGAGAGAGAAAGAACTTTTACCTTAGACTCAAACTGAGCTTGCTTGCTCTGTGGGAAACCTTAATCAGTTCATTATAGTGTTAGGTTATTTCCTCTCATTAAGGAAATGAATTGCACTGAAAAGTGAAGAATAATGAGAAGGAAGGGGGTTTTAGAGTTGTAACTTAAAAAACAAACAAAACTTAAACAGCTTTTAACAAGGCATCAAGCATATCAAATTGGAGTATTGTCATCACAATTAATAATTGTATCAGTGGTGTGGGAGTGTTTGATGTGGAAGGAAAGACTACATGATTTGGAAAGAATATCCTTAGGGAGAAGATTATTCATGCAGTTTTACTGGTTCCATATAGATATTGTTGCTTTTATAATTGTGAGCTGCAGGAATGAAGAAAGTAAGTACTTCATTATGCAGTAAGATTATTCTATTCATTTGTTGGCTTTTTAGGGTAGACTGTGTTTGGTATTGTTAAAAAAAACAAACGACAAAAACTTTGACATACAGTGTTGTAATTTAGCTTTTGCTGATATCATGTAATTGAAAGAAACACCATTATTTTATGTTGCAAAGACTGGGGCCACCTATGCCTAGCAGGAGACATTACAGGGGCAAAGGAGAAAGAAAATGAACAATTTATGACTGAGCAGATTCAGGTCTCTTATCTCATGATCCACATTACCAAACAGCGAATCTCCCGTTGTTATTAAAACGACCAGGCTATGAGAAATATTCCAGAATCAGTTTTACAGAGTAAGCATCATGATTTCGCTTCAGTTAATAAATCAAAAAGTCTGTCATCTAAACTTTTTAAGTTAAAACAAATTATGAACATTTTTCATGTGAGAATAAATGATTTGTATGGCAGAATTTTAAATGTATAGGAGAAAATAATTTCCAAAAATATGCTAAAATTTCCTGGAAAATAATAGCATTCTGTTTGTCATTATAATTCACATTAAAATACTATAAATAATGGATACATGTATATGAATTACATCTGTAAGTATTTATGTCACTGTATATGAAGTTTTGCTAGTGTTCATTCCTAGTGAAGACTATTATATTTTATACACATTTGACAAAATCTAGTTGTTAAATTATTAAAGATGAGAAGCCTGATGAAGATAAATTAATTTAATTAATCAAGAGAAAAATCAACACATAGGAAAATTGTTTCCTTTTTCTTCTTTGGACAAATTATAATATGATAAGAAACATATAAAATAAGAACATTGTTCATTTCAATGAGAAACATTTGTGTGTTTGCTTATTTATTTATTTTTAAGGATTTTCAGACAAATTGCCTCATGCAAGAAAGCCATGAAAGAGGACATCACAGTAAGTCCAGGTTGCAGAACATACTTAAAACTGCAGGCAATCCTGTTTCCCAGTGTCACGCGTGTGTAATTTCCATCCTGGTATCTTTGAAAGCCCACAGAATGCTTAATTTAACAGCATCATGCCTTTCCTATCTACATCTAATTCCCAGATAGAACGTGATATCTCGTTCCACCTTGGTAAGTTGCCCATTTGTGTGCAAGAGTCTTGCTCCTTCTCAAGGAAACACTGACCCTGGTAGAACCGAAGTGAGGCTAGAGACTTGGGCCTGGCCAGGCCAGAAGTGGCAGAGCTTGTTTCTAGAAGGCTTAGAACACACTATTTCACCCTGTTCAGTGAGAAAGAACAGAGCCTGAAGGCCATGTTTTTGGAAATGTTATATGAAAATTGAAAATAGACTTCTTAAGGAATGTAACGTTTTCTCATTAAACGAATGCCTGAAGAACAGCTGTTGATGTTCGTTCAGTGACCTTTGGGGCTTTCTCTTACTGCATTTTTCATAACACACAAGTGTTCATGTAAGAATAAAATACTGGGCTCACAGTTTAGGTGACCGGATTTCAATTATGTTTCAGCAGTGATGGCTGCCTGGCCTGCATCAGGCTTTCCCCTGCTGTGTGTATTGCCTCACATGAAATGACAGGATAAAGAGTCTTTTATATGTTGGCGATTTTAGGTTTCACTGCACCAATGAAAGGAAAAGAGACATGCCAGTTTTATTAGAGGGTGTCTTGCCCTCCCCCTTCTCCTAATTAGTGTTCTATGTCTGGACAGTTCACATACATATAAACACTCAGACATCTATGAGGCTGAATGGAAAATATTTGTGGCCAACACTCCAGGCAAAATACAGTAGTATTCAAGAGCATCTAAAGTGTCTCTGTGTAAGTCTTCACACAGTTATTTTTCCAGTTACAAGACATTTATTTCATTTTGGATTTCTTACTCCCTACTCTGTATTTGTAGATATATACTGCACACACCCCTTGGTCAAAACTCAGTCTGCGGATTATTATTGCTCACATCAGAGGGTCCATTAACTTGCTTATGTTCATAAAATGTCTCTTTGGTTTGTAGTAAATATGTAGAAAATGTGCCCTCCAGAATTAAAGTTACTCAGACTAAAAGCAAGTATGTCAATAGACTTTTCCCTGGTGGCCACACAATGGGTTTCTTTAATAAAAAATTAGATTATTTAGTGAAAATGACCTAATGGTCTCATATTTCACAAAATAATTTTAAATTAAGTCCATTCCTTCATAGTATGCAAAACCAAATGTTTATTATTTTTATTTTACTTTACATTTCAAACCTGGTTGCATTAAAACTCTAATGGAAATTAGGAATCACTTTTTAGGATGCAAACTGTCTACAGAAACTAAAACCAAAGTACCACTAAGCTCCCTAGTTACTGAGTTTGAGGTTTATATTCCAAAGTGCATGACATTTTATTTTGTTTATGATATTTTCCCCTTATAATTTAACTAATACTTTCTCACTTTTACATTTTATTCCAGAAATAAATTTCAAGTCACTTTACCAGACAGAGAATCATAAGCAGTAAATGGCAAAGAGAGTATAGAATGGTAGTATTAGATAGTTATAGGTACTATCCATGAATATAGGGTCAGTTATAGCTATGAAGATTCTAATTATCAACTATTTCTCTTATGATAACATGAAAGAATTTGTATCCATAGTAGATTCTGTATTATGTAACATACACATAAAACCATTATTCATATCACCGGCCAGTTAGCTCAGTTGGTTAAAGCATGGTGCTAATAACACCAAGGTCGCAGGTTCGATCCCCGTATGGGCCAGATATGCTTTTGGCCAGGCGATGGTGGTGCACGCCTTTAATCCCAGTTGGGAGGCAGAGGCAGGCGGATCTCTGTGAGTTTGAGACCAGCCTGGTTTACAGAGCTAGTTCCAGGACAGGCTCCAAAGCAACAGAGAAACCCTATCTCGAAAAAAAAAATTGTTCACTTTTTTTAAAATCATGTGTGACTTATAGTATATGAAAGAGAAGGATGACCATCAGGTGTCACCTTTGAGAGAATACATGATACATGTTTTTTTTATATGCAGATAATTGTACATGCTAGGTAGAGAGATGATCTTATTATCTTCTTTGTGCAGATTAAGTATGACTTTAAAGAAATATGCTACTTGCAATGTCAACAAATGGTAGATTTGAGACAGTAAATTTTATGTGTCAACTTGGCTATTTCATGGTTCTCAGATATTTGTTTGATTATTATTACTCCAGATGCTTTTGTGAGACATGTTAGATGGCATTAGCACTTTAATTAGTAGGATCATAAACACTGATAATGTGTATAAGAATTGCCTAATTATTTAAAGGCTATAATAGAAAAGATAAATTCCTAAGTGAAAGACTTCCATGGAAACTCTTGGATTTGAAGGATAACATCAAGTCTTGTCTTTTTCTCTGCAAACAAATATCTGTAGATTAAAAAATATATGATTTATCAACCTCCAATGTAAGTAAGCCTTTCACCTAATCTTTTAGCTCTTCCCTTGTGACGCCCCCTCAACATATGTTGCTGGCTCTGTTCTTTTTATTTATTCTTTCAATAAAATTACCTAATAGAGTTTTGGAGACAATTTTACAATTGTTAATAACTTCAGTAAGTAATATAATGGTGTTTCATATGGTCTAACAAAGGCCACATGCATGCTGGGGAGCCAGAAAACTTAGTTGCTACTTAGTCCAAAAGGTTGAGAGTCTAAGACCATCGGGGACAATGATTTCACCCTGGACTGTGCTCACTGATAGATCACTGTGTACATCCACACTGAAAGGGTAAAGACTTCTGTTCTTATGATGGCAGTGATTGAATAAGTATCAGGCACATTCACTCAGAAAGGCTTACATCGCACACATTCTGTAGATCTTTCTCTTTCCATATATATTTCCTTTATTTTCCCTATTTCCCTATTGGAAGTAATGTCCACATTCTGGAAAGGTCTCTCTTTCTCAATCAACATGGCAATCATTCCTACAATACCCTTAATGACACATCCAGACATCTAAATATGTCTCAACTCAAGCAGGTTGACAATCAATATTAACTATTTTAATTTATTACCAATAAGGAGCTATCTTTTGATTTGATGAATGAGAAGCTTTTGGAAAAGAGAAATGAAGCCGTAAAACAATCCCACACCAGTTCAGAATTATTGATTATAAAAAGGGTTATTTATTTAAGGGGAAAAAACTTACAGATCACAGTCCTAAACAACAGTCATCTGAGCACAGACAGGAAACAGTCTAGCAGCAGGAGCATGAGAACAGAAGCACTTAAACTATAAGAGACCACACCCAAGTGGGCTGGTATCTTAAAGGCTATTGGCTGAAGGAGCAGAATGTGTTCCCACAGCAGAGAAACCACTTGATAAGTGAAAATGGGGATAAAACTTATGACAGAATTAATGAAATCTACTAAAAAATGTAACTTGTATTTGGTATTTATTTTATTTTTGGTAATAGTAGAGGACTGGCAAAAGACAGGGCCTGATTAACTGATTTAACATTCATTGAGACAAGGGGAATGTATTAACTACTTTCTCATCCAAGTACCTGACAAAGAAATAGAGGAGAAAGACTTTGTTTTAGTCTGTGACTTCAGAGGGTCACGGTCCATAATGATAAGGACTTTGTCCATAGTGGCAGGAGTATAAATGGTGGCTCATTCACAAAGTGAAGGAACCAGGAATCTAAAATGGGTATAACCTTCACAGTTTCCTAGTGAGATCTAAGGACAGCCAGACCAGACCTCATAATGTCAACACAACTCCAGACCTCATAAGGCCAACACAACTCCAGACCTCATAATGCCAACACAGTTTTCAAAATGTGTCACAAACTATGGAACAAGCGTGCAAAACATGAGTTTGTAGAAAACAGTTCAGATTTAAGCAACAATGAGAAATAATTGTAAGTGCTTTTAATATTTAAAAAATAAATTCTATCACTTGCCGTTTCTTAATCAGGTTGCTCATCTAACAAATAAGTGATCAAGGACTATTCTTATAAATTGCTAGGGATGGGGTACCTTTTTACCCTATCATAGCAATTTGAAATCAGAAGTATATGCATTTGCTAATATGTCCAAAACAGGCAATAAACAATTTTATAGCATCGATTGCCCATTATCCTCTTACAGTGCATATAACATAAATAATATAACTACATTCTTATTTATTGTAATGGCTAATCAAAGTACAAATATAGCAAATCATAAATCATTATTTTCAGATATCAAAGTGAGTAACTACAGACTTTGCTGTGTGATCCATGTGTTCTTTTTGTAATACCAAGATATTTAAGAGCAATGAGTGTGGGATTATGAGGAGTTTGGGCCAGAAAAACTGCAGGTAATGTGGTCCTGGGCTTCTGGTGAGTATGAACAGTGATAAAGGAGTTGGTTTTGTCCAAGAGAACTACTGCTTCTTTACAGAAGGGAAGAGACTTCTTTGGGAGCTTTAGATGGAACATGTTGTGGGTGAAAGGGGGCTATATCACCTCAACTCACTGTGCTCTGCATATGAGGTTCTTTATATTGCTAAAGTACTTAAAAACTAGTAGAAGCTTAAAGTAAGAACACTGTTGTGGAACATCATGGGGATGAAGATGGACTAGGATACATGAAGATTACTGAGCAACACTGGCTGAAGAGTCTCTAGTGAAATGGAGATGTAGTTGTCATGGCAGCAATATGCACAGCCCTGTGACTTCCTTCTGTGGGAATACTGGTTTGGATAGATTCCTCAGGACTGGTTTAAGGGTGGAAACATCAAGGATTGTTGTTCTAGAAACATAAGATAAAACTGAAGGTCGTATACTCAGTTGTATTATAAATTTTATTCTTATGTGTTGTGTGTTAGGCCTTCAATGATCAATTGTTGAAGGACTTTTGTATTCTGCTAAGATAGGTATGTTTTAGGATAATATGAATCTATTTTGCCTAGAGAAGGAATTCCTGGATGAGAGCAAAGAGCATTCATATGAGAGCAAGGATGTGAAGGTGCTTGCAAGCAGGAAGTCATGGCTAGATATGGGACCTGAAAGAATGCAATATCTAAGGAAACATGCACCTTGATTGTGACAGTGTCTTGAAAATGAAATAGCTCTCACAACTGTAGAATATGCTAGAAAGGAGGGATTTGTAAAACTAGCAGTTTACATCTGGTATTTCCAATCCATCAAGTTTTAAAGTTTGACTAACTCAAATAAAAGATGACATTTAGCACAGATCTCCAATGACTACAGACTGTTTCCGAGGAGAAGAGGAAGTTAGAAGGGATGTTATAATCACAGCAGTAGCTTTTCACAGACTATCAGAAATAGAAGAATCCTGTGAGACAAACTTGCCCATTTGTTGAATAAAAATAGTGACAATAGGAATAGTTTATCCTAAATGAAACCTGGCATTAAGCCTCATTCTAGGTAGAAATCCTGAATGAACCGTCTCAGCACACGTATTGAAGTTTGGAGATCAGTCTTTCTTTCTACTTAAAGAATCAATCAGTTAATTATAAATTTAAGTATGTTGGTTAAAATAACACACACCAACTTTATTTTTATAAAGGCACATGAATGCATTAAACAGTCTTAATATTGCTGTGTTCTGTTCTCTAGTCTTCTAAGCCTACCTAGTGGGTTAGAGAATTCTTGATTTGTGGCCAAATACCATTAGTAGTGAAACATGAATGCATGTGTTTGATTTAGATCTTGGGAATCATCAGACAGCTGGGCGAAGGTTATGCCTTTCCCTCTGTACACCAAAGAACATGAACAAATGACTTTCCGAGTGTGCAATTCACAACGTATTACATCAGTCAGTGTGAAAAATAAAAGCATTGGTAACAGTTTGGCTAGAATTATTCTGCAGAGTGAACTGCCTCAGGGGCAACAGAGCATTAGGAGCCCAGTGCTAATGATGGCTTCTTTTCCACACACTCATCAGCAAGCCTGAGCCCTGTGTACTGCCTTGGGCTCATGGGGGCACTGTGATGCTGAGCAAAAGGGACAGCGACTGGGTTCACGGTGACCAGAAGAGAGCAGGAGTTAATGTTGGATCACAAAAGAGGATTGCCTGAAGTGGCTCTTAGGCCGCTGCTGCTCAGCGGAGCAATTTAATAACGTCGGCAGAAAGCCATGCTTTGGGCAGTCGCTGCCTCAGTACTGGATACGCCAGCTTCTGGGATTTTCTGATGTATGGCTTACAGCAAAGTCCTCCTAGTTCACTAATTCTAAAGTCCCTGCCTAAATTTGCCTTTCTGACCCACATCCAGCCTGCTTAATACTCTCCTAATTGATCTCCTTATCCTCTCTTCATTTTTTAAAGGAGCATTTCAACATTCTGTTAAACTAATTGCACTATTTTGGAAGAGAAGTATTGCCATCTGTTTTTAAATATCTACTCTTCCTTTCTTTGATGTAACATACTGTAGCTGAATAATACATCTCCCTGCTTCTCTTGATTCTCACTGTAATGGTGGGAATAGCCTTTTCTGCCATGCAGAATAGAGTATAAATGGTGGATGCCGGACTCATAATTTGAGGCTAATAAGCAAGCAGTGTAACCAGACAGTTAAGGCCCCCAACTCCGACATGCTGCAGTCCCTCAAGCACAGGACTGCTTATGGTTTTCAGTTGTTATGTGAGGCGGGACTAGACTATGACATAGCTTAAGCACTGTTACTTTGACCTTCATTGTGGTGACGTAACCCACATTTTAGTGCTCAGTTTAAAAGTCTTCACTGGATCCTCATACCCAAGGCCTGCCTCTGA